GGATGAGGGCGGAGGCAAGGCGGGGACTGCCGAGCGTTTCCGACAATGTATTGACTTGGATTGTTTTTTCTGTTTGTGTATACAAATGCATCATATTGTTACTTATTGTTTAATTATAAAAATCAATAAAAAAAATTATTAAAAAAAAAAAAGTCCTTTTGTGGTCTGTCTCCTGACATGCCTGATATTTACCCAGCCTACTAATCTATAAATTATGTTTTATAAATCATCCGTTCACATGATATAGTAAGAGAAAATCACCATCCTAAATATTTTGATTGGTTTTCTCAATAATCAACATTAACAGTATTAATAATTGCTACTGTTAATGTAATTAAAGGGGGCATGATGGCTCAGCAATTGAAGACATTGAGCTTGTTAGCTGGAAAGCTGACAGCCAGATTTGAGAGCCGAGCGCCATGCAATGGGGTGTGCTCCTGTTACTTGACCCAGCTCCTTGCCCCAGCTCCTAGCAGATCAAAAGCATGCAAATGTGAGAAGATAAATAGGTACCACTTCAGTGGGAAGATAACAGTATTCCATGTGTATAGTCACTGGTGTATAGGCACGCTGGCCACATGACCATGCAAATGTCTTCGGACAATGCTGGCTCCCCTCACTAAGAAATGGACATGAGTACTGCCCCTAGAATTGGACATGACTGGACAGGGAAAACCTTTACCTTCAATAAGATGATTATCATTGTTAAGAAGGTGAACTACCTTATATACCATGTTTCCCCAAAAGTAAGACCTATCCCGAAAATAAGCCCTAGCTTGATTTTTGGGAGTGGGACTAATACAAGCCCTACTCCAAAAATAAGCCCTGGGGTGGGGGAGGCGGAGGTGCCCCACGTGCCCTGCACCTGCTTACCATTGCAGCTAGGCCTCCCTTGAATCGACACCTGCCTTGCCTCGCCAGCCCACTTCTTCTGTGGTGCCACCCGGCCTGTATTTTGCCATTAGAGGCTTTCTGGAAAGGCTTCTGTCGGCAAAATGCAGGCCGAGGGGCACTGCACGGGCCAATCCAAAGCGCCATTCTCAGCTGCAGAGGCATTTCCTTCGACCACAGAAGAAGTGGGCCAGCTGGGTGGGGCTGTTGGTGCCGCTGTACCGAGGTAAGACTGTGGAAAAGTCACCCCCCCAAAAATAAGATCTGGTGCCTCTTTTGGAGGCAAAAAAAAAAAAAAGACCTGGTGTTATTTTCAGGGAAATATAGGATATATCCTTTGCTTTGATTTTTTTTAAAAATGTATTAGATGTATACTTTGCTTGTCATTCATTGGGAATGAAGAGATATATTCCTCCTAGCTTCCCCACTAAAATAGGCTGAGCTGTGTAGGAGTGACTAGAAGTTTCCAAGCTCAAGAGTATACTTGATCTGGGCTCTGTTTATCGGTTGGGTGGTCATATCTATTTAATAAATAAATAGAAATCTCCCTAGTTCTGGTCCAGCACTTTAAAGACTACACCATTCAGACTCTAAATAGGGATATGGATATAGATATATGGATAGATTTACTGTTTAGGCAACTGATGAACTATAGTTCACAATAACGTATGCCATAACTGAGTACTATAAGATTCTTGGGTTTGCTATAACTCTAGAATTGTTTTTCAATATACTTTGGAATCTTGGGAAAAAAATTGAAAACCTCCCACTCTTCTGAGATTGACCTACACAGTAATATTCCTTAATGCGTGTTTTATAGTCTGGTAAATTTAGAACACATTAAGTTTTAAATTAAGAAAAATGTAGGCGAAAGTAGCAATTAGTACATATATGCCACTGATAAAATAATGAAGATTTGGGGGTTTATACCAACAAATGAGTCAATTTTCAGCTGTCTGGGGCATGGGCGAGATAATGCAGTCTATCAAAATCCAAACTATATAGTGTATGTACAATGAAGGTCATAGTTTATGCAGTAGAACTGTGCATTGGCAGGCAGATGGCCTTTTTTTACTTTGAAGTATGTACACACCTTGACTCATATTGAAATAAATACACTATATAGCTCATTTTGAAAGGATAGAACTTTTTTAATAAGCAACTCAACACTTTACGATTGACTGCAGGAAGTACAAAGTTTATTGCAGAAGTTAAAACTCCCTAGTTGAAGAATAACTTCGGGTGAAATACCTTGCTCTTAAATGTAACAAACAGAAGCTTTGGAGTGAAAGATGATGTAGTTCAAGTAAATGCTTTTTTATTCTGTTCCTTTTTAATTATATAAATAAATATTATTATGAAGCCATTACTTTCAAGATTTTTTTTATCGTACATAAGACTGTAACATTTGTGAACTAAAAAGCGTCTTAAGTGCTGATACGATGTAGCATATAAAAAGTTGGACTTAATGTTCAGGAATTAGGTAGAACTTTAGGTTTATTATTAGTATTTTAATAAAAGGGGATATTGTCATTTTAGCATGGCATTCCATGCCATGTTTTTCATTTGTGCCAAAGCCATTTCCTTTGAGGTGCAAAAACTTTCAGGGACTGCTGATCACACATTAGAGCTGTAGTCTGAAGTCCTTGAGTGTTGCGGGTGTTAAAGAAACAAATCTGGGAGGGAAAGGAGGGGATGAATCATGTTTTAACAATGTCTATCTTTTCTGATGCCTAATCAATATCTTCACTGTTTTATTTGTTGCTTTCTGTCACATATATAGAATGTATCTATGATTTGTTTCTGCACCCTACATAAAAACATGGCATAACCTTTTGCTTTATCTGAAGTCCTTGTGGTTGATATTGTTGGGAGGTAGGGTGAAAAGGCCATTTTGCAACAGTATTTGGTATTTTTCAAATTTAGGGACTTAGTTGTTCCCAGCTCCATGCAAACTTGGGGGCCTGAGTTTGATGGGCAACTGTTTGAGTGCTCATCTAGGACTGCCTCATGACATCCTTCATGGATCATATCAGTCATGGAACATGGGACAGCTGGCAAAGGGTGAGTTCATCCCTACATCTTCAAAGAAGGTGGACAACCGAAGAGCCAACGGAAAATAAATACTAGCTGGTATTCCCTGGGAGAAAACACACAACAAAATGAGACAGAGGAGAAACGCACTGCTGGGGGAGCCCATTGGAGTGCATCACCCAGTTGTGGGCCAGGGAAGTCTATTAGTCCAGTAAGGAAATGCTTATACTATGTACAGGGAAGTGGACAAGATATACTGGGTTCTTTTCATGGGAAGAAAGGCGGCCAAAGTGAGGTTTCTTTGATTTATGACTAGTGGGGGCAGTCAGAACACAAATTGAGCAGAACCATTCCTGTCAGTTGGACTTTGGATCCTGTGGGCTGAGTGACATGTCACCCAGATGATAGTTCCAAAAAAATAATGCCCTCCATCACTCCCCTTGAAGTGCCACCCCTATCCTACTTCCGAAGAGATGAGGATTACCTGACTCCTGTCTTGTGTTCTCTAGGAATGAGCCGTGGGGAGCAAAGTGGAAGTGCAGACCCGCGATTCGTGTGACCACACTCATCTGTAGATCCCTCACCCAATAGCAAAAGAGCTTTTATCAGCGCTGAGAGGGAGCATATGGGCATTGTGGGGGTGGGGGAAGCCTCAAGGCCTGCTTATTCTGAGAGAAGCAAATAGACTGCAAACTCTGGAATACAAAAACAGCATGAAAAGCTAGCACAATTGAAAGCATCCGACACTCACCACGGGAGCAGCTGGACTGTTCTCTGTCAGAATTATTGCAAGCTTATTTAGAAAAATTCCAGCAGGCTTAGGATTCTGGAAACTTTCCAGATCAAATTGGAATGAGTAAGAAACAAGCTATTTCTTTAAATAGAAACTGGCAGATATTTTTGGATAACTCTGGTAAACAGAATGAGAAACTTTAATTGTTGTCAGCTAAAACTTTTGAAACTTGTTTTGGTGGAAGAGGAAAAAGAGGAAAAATTACATTAAATTAATTTGTTTATACATGCCAGAACATGTATTTTTCCTTTGTCTTTTTAATTTTTCTCTTCTTTTTCTTTTTCATTGCACTTATTATTTTTTCCTGGTATGTATTAGTTTCATCTGTATAATGTAATTGTTAATCAATATTATTTTTAAAAAGACTTATTCAAAATTGTGTTTTAATTAATTTTAATTAATTAAATTTGTATAGAATAAAAACAATGCATTTTTTAAAAAAAGGAAAGGTGAACAAATTAAAGAAATGTGATGTAAAGAAAGAAATAGAAAAGACAGAAGAAAGAGAGACAAAGAAAAAAAGATATAAAGTGGCTTCCATTCTTCTTCACAGCAGTTATAAATGCCTTTATATTTTCCAATGTTGTATCTTAAATAATAATTATAATATAATAATTATATGATATTGTATTATTTTGGTTTATTGCACAGTCAGCCAGAAGTTCAGAATGAATTTGGCATTTTAGTCTGCCTATCAAGTCCTTCCCAAGAGTATAGTATTACAATTATAATAATTGCAATAGGCATATGATCTAAATATCTCAATATTTTCTGTACCATATCATAGGAACCATACCACTGGACCCTGTGGGCTAAGGGACATGTCACTCAGGAGTGGTACTAGGCTAGAAATTCTCATGCAGCATATTATTTTGGTAGTTGTTGACTTTTGGTGTTCTGGAAGGACCTTATTTTAAATAGCATTTTTTTTTACTTTGTGATATAATTCTTACAGGAATTTGGGAACTCATTATAAAATGTACATTATAACATTTTTACAGCAGCAATATATTGAATTATTTCTGTTTATATCAAATAGCACTCATTCTGCTTCCTGCAATAAAGCTTGGCAACAAATCACAGGCTTTGGGCATTGAATGGATTTTGTAATTAATACACATCTAAGTTAAGAAATCACAATAATACATAGCATTGTGACTTTTCTAGAATACTGTAACTTGCTCTTGCTGCCATTGGACAATTTAGGTGTCCTATGATTTCGGAAAAGGATATTTCTTTGAAAAGTAATTAACATGCATCTGTTTCCCTCTTGGCTTTATAGATCATGTTTTGCACATTGAATACACACAAAATTGATATGAACAAGCTTTTGGGTGTGCAAATTGGTCTTGAAGACTTTATATTTGCTCACGTCAAAGGAATAAAAAAAGAAGTGGAGGTTTTCAAATCAGAAGATTCACTTGGACTTACCATTACTGATAATGGAAATGGATGTGCCTTCATAAAGGTAGGTTGGGGATGAAGTGAATAAAAGGTAGTCCTCAACGTTTGACCACAATTGAGCCCAAAATATATGTTGCTAAGTGAGAAACTTGTTAAGTGAGTTTTGTTCCACTTTACGACTTTTCTTGCCACATTTGTTAAGTGAACTACTGCATTTATTAAGTTAGTAACATGGTTGTCAAGTGAATCTGGCTTTCCTATTGACTTTGCTTGTCAGAAAGTTGCAAAAGGGGATCGCATGATCCCGGGACACTGCAACCATCATAAATATGAATTAGTTGTCAAGCATCTGAATGTAGTTCACATGACCATGGGGATGCTGCAGCGGTGCTAAGTGTGAAAAATGGTCATACGTCATTTTTTCAGTGCCGTTGTAACTTTGAACGGTCACTAAATGACCTGTTGTAAGTCGAGGACCCCCTGTATGAGAAACATGAACATATCAATTTATTTCATTAATTTATGGTGATAGCATTGAAACTGTGTTGAGTAACCCCTAAAGTGAATGGCTTGAAAGCCTAATACTGACATTATTTCTTGAGTGAACACTTAGAGGAGACGGAATATCTGACAGAGCCATTTTTTAAAAACAGAACATTTCAGTTATGAAAAAGACACTTTAGCATATGACAAACCATATGTCTATATGCTGTATTTTGTATGCATTTGATCCTTATTCTATCATGATCATTTTTAATTGTCTTTAAAACACAATGATCAGGCTGACGTTATGCACATCTGCGTAATCTAGCCCATAATTTCAGCAAAAACAAATGTTATATTACTCAGAGTGGAGATGAGAGAGCGAGCATTTTTTTTCTTTAGCATATTTTTTTTACTGCATAATAACTATTATATGTCTTTTTTCACTACTATTTCTTCTGGAAAAGTTCATCATTTCTCCTGTCAGTTACAATTTGCTGTCAAATAGTTCTTCTGAGCAAGTTCTTCTCCATCCTGGTTACCTTCCTTTGGAGAGAAGCCAAGAGAGGGAAGTTAAAGGCTGGAAAGTGGAAAAATCTCCCTTCTAGCTTGATAGACTAATCCTGATTTTTTTTTAAATTTCTCATTTTTCTCTAATATTATGCAGTTTGATCAGTTTATTTTTAGATCAGAAAAATGAAATAGGGTGAATTAACTCCTATTCCAGAATTTTGGTTTTGATAAGATTTAGATTATTACAACTTCCCTATAGCCATTTTTATCTTTGGGTGGGGGTGGGGGGGTTGGAGCTTACTGTTGCAGCCAGGCTTCCCATGGATTGACAGTTGCCTCACCGGCTCACTTCTTCTGTGGCCAAAGGAACAGCTTCATTTTGCTGCTGAGAATGGAGCTCCAGCCTGCATTTTGTAGTCAAAGACCTTTCCGGAAGGCCTCAGCAGCCGAGAACTGAGCTATAGATTCAATCCGTAGCTCGGTTCTTGGCTGCAGAAGCCTTCCGGAAAGGCCTCTGATGGCGAAATGCAGGCCGGAGCTCCATTCTCAGCTGCAGAAAGAAGCTGCTCCTTCGGCTGCAGAAGAAGTAGGCCGGGTAGGCGGGGCTGTTGATGCTGCTACTGCAAGGTGAATGGAAAATTCACCCCCCGAAAATAAGACCTGGTGCTTCTTTTGTAAGCAAAATAAAATAAGACCGGGTCTTATTTTCAGGGAAACACGGTAATGTTTCATCATTGGGTTTTTCTTGCCCTTCTTTCTAATGATACTCCCAAATGTCCTGAAAATTTCTTCAAGCCAGTAAGAGCAGACTAGAGGAAGTTAGCGTAAAGATGATAGACACAGGAGACTACTGACTTTTTCTTAACTTCCTGGATATAAAGAGAATGAAAATATCTTCTCTTGCCTATCTTCCATTGGATTTTGGATAGAAGGGTCCTGGCTGAAAATGTGAGACTCTTCATGTTCATATTTGTAGTTCATAATTTTCTGGACCAGACTATTTTTTTTAATGTATCATAATATATGTAAAATTGTTTTTGTCTGCAGAGAATTAAAGCAGGAAGTCTTATTGACCAAATAAAAGTGATATGTGCTGGTGACCACATAGAATCTATAAATGGAAAAAACGTAGCAGGCTATCGTCATTATGAAGTGGCTAAGAATTTAAAGGACTTGAAGAAGGGTCAGACATTTACATTAAAACTGATAGAGCCTATGAAATCATTTGGTGAGTGGAACATATCCACCAAAAAACTGTACCAATAATCTTATTACAATAGAGTAAAACTATCCTCATCACAATTAAGCTACTTAATCATAAGGTTTAAAGCTGTCTTTCCATACCTTACACTCTGTTACACTAATTATTACGGAGACAAGTTCACATGAAGCTCAGATACTTTTATTTCTTTCTGGCACATACAAAAAGGGATTATCAAGCCCAGCATGGTTCATGGATTGTATTAAATTTAATTTTGTTGGGCAGCCTGATTTAAAATAAAGACAGAAATTAAACAAAATTTAATTTACCTCGTTTCAAATGTATTTGGGCCCTCTCGACAATATTTTTTCAGATCAGCAAATCTACTTCAATTAATCCCCACTAGCTATATCTTTACAGCCCTTTAAGGAGGATTGAAAGAATCACTGTTTACCTTTTCTTGTAATTTAGTTAATAGTCATACTGGATCTGAGTTGCAGACATTACAAATTTTCAGTAAATATATAAATAGCTTTTCAACAATGTGGGAAATGAGATTCTTACTTTTAAATGGAGCAGCATCTAATTTTTTCAGGAAATACAGGAGTTTCTTTGCTATGACAACTGTTACTGTCAAAGCATTGCTGGATGAGAACTATAGTGATGTTCAGTTAATTGGGCAGTCTTATACCTTCTCCTCTTGACAAAATCAAGAGGAGAAGTCAATAAGAATTACAGCTGCATCTCCAGTAGTTTGCCTTTGCCAACTAATTTTTGGGGAGCAGATTTTCAAGTCCAAAGCTATAAAGTGAGGAAATTGCACATTGAAATTAAGTTGCTATTCGCTAACAACAGGTGTGGTAAAATCATACGGGTTAAACTCATATTGAGTATTTGATGTCCTTGAAAAGAGTATTGAGACCGAATCAGTTTAGTTAGATAATAGGAGAGTTCAGAACAAAACAGATTATTTTTAAGCACTTATGGGTGAGACAGACAAATTGATTAATATGATGATTTTTATAACCCCTGGGTTGGCAAAATATTTTTGTCTTAAAATTACTACAAGCTAGTCATTGTTGACCGAATCATAAACTTCCCAATCTACCCATCTATAAAATGTATGGGTCTCTTGGCCCCATTAAAAATGTTTTAATGACTCTGCAACTGCTAAAGTAATCTCCAGCTTAAATCCAGCTCTGAGTTGAATTTTATCCTATGAACCCTAAGTTTGGGTTTGATGTTGTTCATCTTGAAAAGAAGTATAACTATATTCAGAGTTGAATTAGAATTTGGGAAACATATATTTATTGCAGAAATTATCGAGCCAAGGTCAAAAAGTGGAAATTTTGCAGAGGATAAAATCTGCCGAGGAAGAGAGACTCTTCGACTAAGACCCAAAGGTCCTGCTACAGTAGAAGAAATGGTGAGTTTTTAAATTCACAAATCTTTGTCCTGAAGGCAGATTTTTGTTCCAGTTTGGAAGCCATTAAACTATAACTACAACCACAAAGAGTGTCTTCACCCTGATGAATTTGGCATTTGCCTCATTTCTTCCATTGCTGCCTCCATCTATACCATTTCCAGCAATGAAAGTTGCACAGCCCTTCCTTAAAACATAGATTTCAGGTTGAGGTTTGACTAAAAATAATGCTGTAAGAAGTGCAAATTTAAAGCAAAAAGTAAAGGTAAGTGGAGACAGGATTTTTTTATTCACAGATTAAAAAAAAAAAATCTTTTCACAAGATTGTGACACACTTTACTGTGATACCTGCACTCACTTTGGTTTCATTATGGTGGTTCATGTCTGAAACTGGAAACTGGAAAACTGAAGTGTATTGACAGAAATACCTTTGACTTGGCATTGTAATCTACCCTGCTTCTTAAAAAGGAATGTATTTACAGAATAGCTGATTTTTCAAATGCTACTGAAGTTACATGAATATCTTTTTGATAGTATTTTAGGCATTTTATATATAGTCTTTCTTTCCGGCGACTCTCCAGATTTCCTGGAATGCAATTATATCACCCGGGAATGGCAAAAGATGTCTAAAAAGCAGGAGAGGTCATCTCTTTGGGTTATGTTTATCTAAAGAAAATGCCTACAAAATGTATGTAGAATCATAACATTGCAGAGTTAGAAGAGATCATTTAGATCCTCAGATCCAGCCTCCCCCAAAGCCTCTCCAATCTCAGCTTGCACACATTTTGCTTTGCTTTTTTGGCTTCAGTTTTTGCCTTCCTGCAATGTAAATCTATAATGTGTCCTGCATTCTGTGGTGATAGAAAGGCCTTGGCATTGTTATTTGTGTAAGATCCTTTCAGGTGTTGGGAAATGGAAGGACTTATATTCCTTGCAGACAGCTGGTCATTTGCATTCTTTTAGAGAGCCGTTGAGGCCACTTGGAGGTTTATCTGTGTCCTCAGGGTCACCTGAATAGTGCAAATGGGTGTGGAGCCTTCTTGGAACTGCTGAAAGGACTGTGCTGTCAGTGAATATAAATCCTTACATTCCCCACCATCCAGTCAGAGCTGAAGAAGCTTCTTGTATGAGAAGCGAAACGTCTTCAAAGAAAAACAAGAAAATCCAGTTTCCTCTTGAAAAAGCACCTGTGGGACAAATATGACCTGGATGACTGAGAATCTCCATAGACATTCTCAGTTCTTTCATTCTTTCTTTACAGGACTTAATTTCTAATCCTTGATCATCATCCTTATTGTCCTTCTCAGGACCTGTTCTAATTTATCTGACTCTTTATTTGCCTGTAATGGATATAGTAGTTGAGGTCTAACCAAAGGAGAATAATGTGGAACTTATTACTTGTGGAATTTATGTTTCCTCTGATGCAGCCTAATAATGTTTTTTTTCTGCCCACCTTACTCTGCTGGTTCAATTCAGTTTATAGGTAGTGTTCAACTTATAATAATTCAATTAGTCACCATTCAAAGTTACAACAGCACTAAAAAGTGACTTATGACCATTTTTCACACTTATGACCATTGCAACATCCCCAGGGTGATGTGATCAAAATCCAGAACTTGGCAACTGATCCATACTTATGATGGTTGCTGTGTCCTGGGGTCATGCGATCACCTTTTGCGACCTTCTGACAAGCAAAGTGAATGGAGAAGCCAGATTCACTTAACTAACTTAACAACTATAGTGATTCACTTAGCAACAGTGGCAAAAAAGGTCATAAAATGGAGCAAAACTCACTTAACATCTGTCTCGCTTAGCAACAGAAATTTTGGGTTCAATTGTGGTCATACGTACCTGTATCATCAACTACTATTCCAAGATCTTTTTCACAAATACTCTTTGTCAACCCAGGTTCCTCATTCTGTTCCTGTACATTTGATTTATTTTTCTTGAATGAAAAAAATTTATTGTATTTACCGTATTTTAACCTTCATTCTATTATTCTTGGCCCATTTCCCTCCAGAAGATCATTTGATTTATTCTGATATTAATGCATTATTAGAATTAATTATTCTGATATTAATGCATTATTAGGATTCAGTTTTCTATCAGATGCAGATCTGATAACCATTCCTTCACTTCCTCACCCAGGTACTTAATAAACATATTAATAGTGCAGGGCCCAATACTAATTTATATTTTTATGGATGAACTTTTTTTTCCTTTTTGAAGAGAAAGGATTATGCTTCCCTTCACTTACCTACTGCCCAGGGTCTTTTAAAGATAATAACATAAAGATTTCCCAGTTCATCAGAAAGTTCATTCAATATTGAAGGATAAATTCCTCTGGTTTTGGAGATTTAAACTCACTCAAAGTAATAGATGTTTTTTTGACTATGTTTTTATTTGTCTCAAGCTTTAATCTTTCTATTCATTCTGTTCTTCTTGGTAACTACTGGAATGCATACATTTCATAAATGCTATGTATTAACATTTTCCAATCTAGACTGAAATGCTGGCATACGTATATGAATGTAATTAAAGAAGCCCTTTTGATGTACTACCAACTTTAGATTTACATCAATATTTATAATACCAAGCTATCTGTATGTACCCTTCCTTGGTGACTTGTCCCTCTTTACAACACACAGACATATACAGATACACACGGAGACATAGTTCTTGCTTCTGACTGACTTGTTTTGTGACCATTTGAAGATACGGTTGTGTAAATAAAATACCTTTGCTACCGATCCTTGCATTTACAACCATAACCACATCCTGCTGTCACGTAATTGTAATTCTGGGGAATTTGTGTGCTTTGCAGTTGACTTGCATCAGAGTTAATAGAGAAGGTTGAAATAAAATTGTAAGTCATAGTCATATGATGTTTTGCTTAGTAATGGAGTTGCCAGTCTCAAAAGTAGTCAGTAGTAGTCACTTACCTGTTAGTAGTCAAGTAGTGAGGACTTACCTGTTTGTCTTCTTTTAGTTTGTAAACAGTTTTGCAACCATATTTGCATTTTCTGCTATCCTATATTATTTCCCTTTAATGGCATCATTGAAAATTATACTTTTAGTTTTAAGAGCTCCTACTCATCTTTAATTTCTTTTCCCATTAGATTGTCCTACCACTATCTAGTTACACATTCCAAATCCAGGCAATAAAACTCAGCTTCAGTTTTGGTTAAAACGATGAAGTCCAGTATTATATGATAGCTTTTGGGGGAAAGACCATACATGGCCCCTATTAAATATGACTTGCTGCTTCTGAAGGAACAATACAATCATTGGGAAAAGATGGCTGCACCAAGGAATTACACAAAGTGTTATAGGAGCAATCCTGCATGCTCTGAAGCACTTTTTTGTCTTCTCACATTAAACACTGCAGAGCCCTAACAGACACCAAAGGCTCTGAAGAAGTTTTAGTCTCATTGCATTTTATGATTGAGTTTGCAATGAGGCCCGCTGTCACATATGAATTTCTTAGTTCAGCTTGATTGTTCAGTAGGCAGACACACAATTATCGTTCAACAATTTTCATTATTAAAATTCCTCATCTCATTATGGGATATTAAATTCTGCACCACAGAAGTCTGGACCTGTATTTAATTTATTTTTATTCATTTCTTTAATCAAATGTCAAAGCCTCCCGGCTGTGGGCAGTTTACAGATTTAAAAAAATCCATGATAAAAAAAAACACAGACAGCTGACTGGAGAGCAAGACACCAAACATAAATCATCCAAAAGTGAAGTGGAGCATCACAAACACCCTGTCCCCAAGGCTTGGGAATTGGAATAAATAATACAAAAAAAATATTTATATGTAATTAGCTTAGTGTAATGTTTTCCAACTTGGGCAACATCAAGGTGTGTGGATTTCAGCTCCCAGAATTTCCCAGCCAGCATGACCATTTACTAAGAATTTTTGGAATTGATGTCTATATATCTTAAAATTGCCCAGGTTGGGAAAAGCTGGTTTAGTAGTAATTAGTTTGGAATCAATATTGATACGGTTGCATTGCAAGATACTGAAAAATTTCACTTAATTTTTAAATATTATAACTCATCTGTTTTGCATTACTCATTGCATAGTTTATATTTCTGTTTCTTCCTTTTGGTAAAGCTTTCAGATGTTGAAGAAAAGGCTACCAAAAAAGTGGATGATCTTCTGGAAATGTACATGGGAATAAGAGATCTTGAACTAGGTCAGTATTTATGTAACAAGCCCATTTCTAGTTCCGCTGAGCTGCCAGAACTTCAGTATAGACATATTCTGAATGTATTATAAAATATTATTTCTTACTTTTTTTGCCAGCCAAAACAGTATGGTAGGCTTGTGGAACTATGATACATTTCTATAGCTTTAACTTGAATTTAAAATATTTTCTATTATGACAAATGACTTAACATATTATGGTTCCCAAATTATTAAAATGTGATAGATACCCACATCTTAATACTTTGAGAACCCTGTTAAATCATTTAACACCCATTTAAATGTATAAAATATGACAATAAGATTTCAATATTTGCTCACAGTGCTGGTTCTAACAAATTGTATTTTAAACAATTGAAGATGAGGACCTCCAGGCCAGCAAGGATGATTATGAAATGAAAAACTTGTTTCATGAAAAGTTTGGTTGCTTATCTGACCTCATATGCTGCAAAATAATGTTGTACAGTATTGAAACGTGCACCCATTATCTATTTATGGCAGCCTGATTTATGAGGATCCTCATTATACTGCTTAGACTAAAAAAACACAGATCTTAATATATCAGACTGCATGGTTGACTAGAAAGGTTGATTGCTATGATTGGCTTTAGAAGCATAAACTCCTGTTTAACGATATGTTAGGCTATTAGGGCAATTGTGTGTATATCTACTTGGAAATAAGCCTCATTCAGTTTAATGGAGCTTCATTTCAAACAAATGGTTATGAACTGTAGCCATATATTCCCCTCCCAAATAACCTGCATTCTATTGGCAATTTGAACAATAGGTAGCTGGTAGCAGCATATGTGTTGCCTACTATTAAACATTAAGATCAGATTCCGCCTTTTGCTTTTTTTCCCTTTTTTAATTACTGTGTGCATGTATATGATTGTAATTCTGAAGATCAATTACTTGCCACAGGGCAATCATACACCAATTACTAAACATATTTTGTTGTACAGTATATCTGTGCAATCATCTCTGCACGGATTAGGCATATAAATCAGAGCAACAAAATCATAGTGTTTGTCATAATTAAGAATCTTTAACAATTATAAGTAAATCCTCTCTCTGTGTAATACATAGTTATAAAGTCTTAGACCTCCTAATTATAAATAGCTATCTCAAATCTGTTATTTAACATAATATCAGTTTTTACAATTATTTTTTACAATAAATCAATCAGATTTTTATTTGGAGTAATTATAGATATCTGTATTATGAAATATGTATTTAATTTAAAAAGTTGAGTATGTAATAGGAATTTGTAATATTTTCTAGTACTGTAGTTCTTCTTAACAGCCATTAGAGGCCAGTATCTGACTGTCCCATATTGGTGTACTATAATATTGAAAATAAGATTTTCTGTTAAAAAAATCAAAGAATTTTACAATGTTATGAGAAAGGGCACGATAAGAAAACATTTTTTTACAAGAAAGACAATGGTGGTAATTAATACCTCACTGTTGTTAATAAATGACTTTGATTAGAAAACCTGTTTAGGTTTTCAGTTCCAATAAAGTTTATGCTGAGATTCACCTTTTGGTGTCAAAGACATTTCCTTCTACGAAAGCTCTTAAGTGTTATTAGAATATAAAATATACCATCACATCTCTGAAGTTTAAATTAAAACAATCGTAGTCTTTCTTCTGCCCTCCCCCCTTGACTCCATTACAACATGCAGTGGGCAAATAGTCCTTATTTAAAAAAACAAGAAGTTCCAAGAAGGCCCCAGTTCTCCAGAAAGATCTGTCTGGGTACGGTAGGGACTGCAGACAGGAAGAAGACTCCTTAAATATTGCTGTTCATCTTGTTCCTCTTGTCACTTGTGATACGAGCAATTCTGTGAATTAGGTAACACTAAGTAATAGTGGTTCATGATATTCAAGCTGTGATTGAAAGAGGATCTGAGTTTGGTTCTCGAAGAATCAAACATAAGGCACTGCCAAGTGCCAACCACACAGTTTTAGCCCTCCTCCGGTGGTCTTTTCTGCACAGAAGATGATAGACCTCTAGCAGAAAACAAATCCGCACTTGTGTTCTCAGGTTTTGTTATCCCCCAACCGAAATTGATGGTGATATTTCTACTACAGTAAGTGGGGCTGAATCTTTAATCCTGAAGAAACTAAAAACTCCTTAGAAGATTAGTTGGCCTGGCCTTAAATACATTCTACAGAGTTTAATTAACCTTTCATTTTCTAATTAATTCTGGAAGTTTACAAATGTTTTGCTTTTTACTTTACATTTTTATTTAATAAAATGCAATTATTCCAAATTTGTTCATATAAAATTCAGCTACTACAATCATATTGATGTTCCTACAAAAATAATAGATTTTTCCCCTCTCTTGATTTAGCTGCAACTATGGTAGAAGCCGGAAAAGGCAAGAACAATCCAGATGAATTTGCAGTAGCTCTTGATGCAGCTTTAGGAGACTTTGCGTTTCCAGATGAATTTGTCTTTGATGTATGGGGAGCCATAGGTGATACTTTGAAAGGGTGATTTTAATGAAAGGCATTAATTGTATTAGAGTACTGTGACAGCAGTGTGGGCACATCATGTGTGTAGCCGTGTACATGGCATCGAGTATGAACATAATATTTTAAAAAGACCTATTTAAAATTTATAAACCTGAACAAATTACATGAATTTAGGACTGTGTTTGTACAAAGCTTTTAGCCTGATTTGCAGTTAATTTAACATTCGCTTTGAATCTTTGCCGAAAAAAAATCAAGTATTTTCTTTGTGTATGTACATAAATATATGCCAGTTGCCAAGCACCCGTATTTTGATCATGTGACCCTGGGGATGCTGCAATGGTCATAAGCGTGAAAAATTGTCATAAGTCAATTTTTTCAGTATTGTTGTAACTTTGAACGGTCACTAAAAAAATGGTTGCAGGTCAAGGACTATCTTTAAAGACATACAAAATGTCTAATCAGCTGCATGAAATAAAATGTACTTTTTTCATTGTGTTTAAGTTTGGACTGCACGGCTGTTAGTCTAATAGCATCAAAGCCAAGTTAACGTATCTCCAGTGTCAGAGAAGTGAACAGAATTTTGTACTGCAGCCGGGTGGCTGGGTGTGAGTTAGGTGGCCATATAAATTTATCAAAGAAACAGAGTGTCTCAGCCCTAGACTGATGGCAATGGCAAAACGCTTTCAAAAACCTTGCCAAGAAAACTGCATGGATTTGTCCAGACATTTGCTAGGATCAAAGGATATCTTGAAGGCATCAAAAGTCAAACCATATCAAACCAAAAAAAAAAAAATTCCACCTATGATTTACTGCTTTAAACTCTATGAATCAGTTCCTATATTCCATGAAACCACTGCATTTGTCAAGAGAACATAGAGATAATGCTGAGATTTCCAGTGGACTCTCCTATATAAATATAGTTTTTGTGTGAAATCTATCAGTTGACCTTACTATAGTTGGAACCTCTATAGTTGGAACTTCTAATGTAAACAGAACAATATCTTTTTTTATAATCTTACAATATCAGAAATAGGGATGGATACCTATTAAAGCTAATTTCAAAGTTATCCTCAAAAAAATTATTTTTCTTTCTCCTGTTCTTGTAATTGTTTGTTGCTAAGTGCATTTGCAGAACAACTTAATGGCAAGATCACTGCAATGTTACATTTCAGTAGATCTGATATAATGTAAAATTGGAACCTAGTATACTATTTTAATCATTTTGCTTTAAACTGGTTGGAATTGACACTGATGTAGAGCACCTATTTAAATGAAAAAATGCTGCCAACTTGAATTCTGATCTCTTTCTCTCATATACATAATTTAGATATATATACCATACACAGAAATGACACTTTGTACTGTATTATGCTATTAAATTTTTACTCCCTTTTAAAATGAATTACTTAATTTTTCATTCTGATTCTAATTGAATTATGAATCAAGTAGGTTTTGATTATGCTTTTCAAAAAGCATTAAAAAAACCTTTTTTTCCTATGGTTGGGCTGAAAGAAGTTACAAATATTGAGCTGAGTCTCATAAAGTGAAGCTTATTTCACAACCCACCAAATAAGTCATTAGAGTAAAATACTTTGAACATACTTGTATTACAATTTCACAAATTTCTTTATACCTGAATGTTAAGAAAATAAAATATTTTCTCAAAAATGTTGTTTCCTTTCTTGATTTGAGGAATAACTTTGTAATAATTTCAGATTACGGTATTCTCTCTCTCTTCAACCAAAATGGGCATTATTAAATGGAACATGAAAAGTAATTTGCTATCCAGAATAAGTCTTAAAAGGGCCATTTTTTTGCTTGCTATGTGTTGTGAATATTTATTTTTTATGACAGAAACTGCTAGAGCACAATCTCCAAAGCACACCAAACCCAAACAACTGACATGTAGCTTATCTTCCACGAACTTTCCCTTGCCCCTAGTCTGGCAGCAGATTTTATAAGAAAGATATACAATAAGCATAATGGATAATATTTTATTTATTAGTGTTATTAGGACAATGCATGTTGGGTAATTCCCTTAATCACATGCTTCAATGCTGCTGGGCCAGGAGGTGATTACATAGAATTTATTTCATACATTTCTCATTTATTTCCTTTTAATGTGCCTGAAAAATAATACACTTTGTGTGAGGCCTATCCTTCTTACACATGGGTTAGTGAGAATATGTCCATAGAAAATATGTGGGGTGGCAATGATAAGTTTTCATCCTATGGACTTGGCCATGCCATTACAAGCTGTATCATTTAATACTTAGGAATGAAGACAATGAGTTGCCTTGATGCTAATTAGTGTACTTCCAGATGGAATTCATAAAATGCAAAGAAAATAGAATTTTAAGCTACAGAAACATATTCATGCACCAGTTAGATCCAGTGCCATATACAATGTACTTTGGTGCAATAAGTGCCAAAAATGATGAGTAACAAACATTTTTTCCCATAAGGAATAATGTAGTGCAGGAGTCCCCAACCCCTGGTCCGTGGATTGGCATCTGGCTGCGGCATGCCAGAAACTGGTCCACTCAAAACAAGCAAAGCCCCATCTGCGGGATGCATGCAGTACATGAAACCACGCCCCCTCTGGTCTGCAGAAAACCTCTCTCCACGGAACCAGTCCCTGGTGCTCAAAAGGTTGGGGACCTCTGATGTAGTGAGTCACAAGGCAGCTGACACCGACAAGTTCTAGCTTGTGCGATGAGTACCAGGACAAAATTTTCACATCAAAATACGCTGAATATACCAAATGTGAAGAGTTTCAAAGCAATTGAGCACTAAGGGAACACTGAATTGGGATGTATTTTATTCTTTGGAAATTGATGATATAAATAATATAATATATAATATAATTTGTTACATTATACTAGATTTTCGAGGCATGCAGCACTTTGGATTTCATTCTAAAAGGGTGCTTCAGACTGCTAGGTTTTGAACATTATTTAAGAATTTGTTAACCTATGATCAGTTTCTTCAACTCTCATCATGCAGGTATGTATGCGCAAAGCACATGCAATCATACTTTTTTGTGGCACTTTACTCTGTGTGGCCTTCAGCTCCCAAAATCCTCCAGCCAGGCCTGCTATAAAATTAGTTTCTCTCTTAAAACTGTTTCTCTGATCATTGCTTGCACATATATTGATAATGTTTCAGCCTCCCATATATTTTACCTTCTGTTGTATTAAATTACGGTTTTAATATTTAGAAACGTATTTTGTTTTTGTTCTCTGGAGTGCCTTTTATCCTGGAAGGAAGAAAAAGCAGCCAAGCAATCGAGCAAGTGGGAAGTAATAAATAAATAAAAAGGTTAACCATATTTGTCTGTTACAATAAAAACTCTTAGGAGTCCTGTTATACAATGTAATCTTTTTCTGGTATAATGAGTCCTGGCCATTAATAAATGTGCTGAAATGGATGTTCTGTACGGGATAATATTTCAAATAATTTTTTGAAGCTGATTTTAGAGAATAGCAAAGGAGAAGTTTTATATTGTTTTTCTTCTAAAAGGGTGAGGAAGATGTTTTATACTTTCCCTCCCTATAGAATATTTACAAAAGATATTGGGAAATCTCTAGGACAGAGGTCCCCAACCTTTTGGGCACCAGGGACTGGTTCTGTGGAGAGAGGTTTTTCTGCAGACCAGAAGGTGCGTGGTTTTGTGTGCTGCCGGCATCCAAAGATGGGGCTTTGCTTGTTTGTGCAGACCGGTTGCTAGCATGCCACGGACCGATACTGGTCCACGGACTGGGAGTTGGGGACCCCTGCTCTAGCATATGTATAAAAACAAACATAATAATTTTGCTTTTGGCCAGCGAGGAAAAATAGTTTGATAAACTAAAACAACATGCATATAGGGGAAATCCAGAGTCTATTAAACTGCTTATGGGTCAGGATTATTTATTTTCTATTTTTATGCCTTCCATTTGTATCTATATTATGCCTTCCATCTGTTCTAGAACCCAAAATGACATACACAGAACACAAACAGGCTCAAGGGGAAAGGTTTAATGAAGTTTAATAAAACATTGACTGTTATATAAACCTGCAAGGAGCAGACAAAAGGCAACAGCGCCCCCTTTTTTCAAATTATGGAAAATGCAAGAGGGTGCAATAAATGAAAAACAACTCCAAATTATAAAAACAACAAAATTAAACCTTTAGAAGTGGAACAATATTTCTGCCAAATATATCCAGGAGTTGCAAATTAGTAGCAGAACTGGATAAAGTGAATGAAGGAAAAGTTTCATTGCAGAAATCCTATCTCCAAGTCACCCAAAGAACACACTTAGAATAAGAGTGTAGCTTCAAAATGGCATATAATCACTGAAATGTTTAAAAGGAAAATGCTTTCAGTAAGTCTAAACTGTGAGAGTTATTAAAGAAATCACAAAGTTGTTCTGGTCAGTTTAGGTCACAAGCTTATTGTTTTGCAGTACCATTGCGGAAGTGACTTCTCTGAACAGGTTTCCTAGTTTATGATTTAGTTATAGAGATCTATTAACTCTGTTATTCCTGAAAATTAAATACAGGACTATTTGTTGGGTTTTATATTGTTTTTGACAATCTACTCTTTTTAGAGACAAGAACATCTTAAATGTAGGATCACCTTTCTTTTCAACAAACACGGTATCTATTTTGCAAAAAAGGTTAACTGTTCTAACTAAAAATATATTGATGGCATTTATTTAGACCAGGGGTCTCCAACCTGTGGGCCGCGGCCCGGTAATGGGACAGGCGGGACAGGCTGGTGTGCATACACCTCCCAACATGCAGTAGCACTGTAGCCACGAGGCGTGAAAATGGGACAATGTGCTGCGGGGCATGAAAATGGGACGCTGCCGCACCTCAGGAGCAAAAATAGGGCGCTGCACTGTGCAACAGGGCAGGGCTAGCGAGTATCATGCGGGTGCTAGCCCCATCCCGTTTGCGACATGCACATGCTTGCGGCCCCATGCGTGCGCGCATACATGCGCACATGTAAAATGCTTCCCCCTCCCTTTCCCTCTGGTCCGCCAACCGAGAAAGGTTGGTGACCTCTGATGTAGACTACTCAATAGTGTTGTTTTGTGCGCAATTTAAAAAGCAAGGACAAAATTTAAAATAAACAGCAAACCACAACAAAACACAGCTAAAGATTATGAGCTGAATAATGATGTGGCTGCCTGAATTATACCTGAAGTTTTAAATTGAGTTTTAACAATCTCCAAATAATTAAAGATCTTCATTGACAGCCCAAATAATTGTAAATATTGTTGGGGAAGTGTGGC